CTATAATATTTTATTTTTTATATAAAGGTTTATAATATAAAAGTTTTATATAAAAACTCTCACAAATAATTTATTCAGCCGAATTAAAAAATTGTATATCTTTTCACAATAATAACTAAAAATACAAGAATATTGGAGCACTCTTCAGTTAGTTTCTCCTAAAATAGAAATATTTTTTCCTGAAACGTAAACTATTCTACTAGAAATATATCTTTGATGAACGAGTTAGTAGGACAAAGCGAGCGAACTTACTTTGCAAGTCTATTCATGAACAATTATCTCTGTTAATTATAGTACTGTTAATAGGACTATAATAGTTTAAAAACATTTATAATACCCAAAGTATGTCTAATTGAAACAATTAAAAAAATTTATTGTATAAACGCATCAAGAAAAGTTTACTTCTGATATTGTAAGAGAAAAAAGTAGAAAACAAATAAAGACATAAAAGATTATGTCTTAATTATATATTTTTGAAAATACAAATATATATAATAAATTCTATTTGAAAGAAACTCACCTAGTAAAGACAAGGCACAGTAACGTAGCACTAAGGATCATCAGCTGTTGACTCAATGCCGATTGGGACTTTTGCATTGCTCGATGTAGATCGTTCTGAAATTATATCGCCCGCAAATCAAATTTAAGCTTGACGTAAATTATGGTTAGATTGAATGAGATACTTACAAACATGTTTTCCAAAGAGTGTTTTGCCAACCAGCAATTTAGGAATACCGGAATGAACAGATTTCTCATTGGCGGATATAATAACTGCAAATATGATATAGAAATATCTTTATTATACCATTTATTATAATATTCTGTCTATAAATTGTAATTAACACTCTGCACTTTCATTATAAATTTATTACAAATTTAATTTGCGTGTTTAGCCATGTTCTTAAAAAAATTATTTTTAATTTAATCGCTTTAATTGAAAAGTAATATATTTCTTTAAGTCAACAAATTATTTGTTTAAAAAATTAAGTTTAATATCTTATTTTTGATTGATTTAATGAATATAAAATAATTTTTGTTATAAAATTAAATATCGATAAAAAAAAGAATTATTTTGATATATACATAAATTATGATGCGCAATATATATATAAAACATAGAATATATAACATAGTATATATAACATAGAAATGCGCAATAAAATTACGTATTTCTATGTTATATATACTTAATTATTCTTCAAACAATTCTGAATTATATTGTCATAATACATGTACTTATTGGAGAACATTTAATCTCTCTCTTCATAATAATTAACTCATTAGTTGGGCAAGCGTTTGTGCTATGATTATGTATGAGGATCATAAATGCTATGTCTGCTATTTGCTTTTACAGATATTTATGATGTAAACATCAATGCGGCTGCTTGGTTTGAACATAAATTTGTTCATTGTGCTTACTTTGCAGCATCAAATATCCACATCATATTACCTAGACAGCAGAGCATACGTTTGCATATTAAACTCTAGCGAGCACACTTAGTTTTAATGAAATTTCATTATAATTTTAAAATGTCATATATCTAATTATATATATCGTTAATAGTTTAAGTATATTGTTGAAACATTTTTCTCGTCATATTTTCTTTTGAAAAAGTCAGTTCCTTCATTTTACACACACACACACACGCACACACACACACACACACACACACACACACATTTTGCTTCTTATTTCAAAATTCAACAGAAAAGAATAAAGATAAGAATTCAGAAAATTATAAGATAAGATTATTGTTTATTATTTTTAAATTACTTTTTAAAAAATTTATTTAATTAATTTTCTACAAATATATGTTAAATTACAATAAATATAATCAGATAATTGTTATTTTCTCAAAAATTAATATTATACAAACAATTCTAATGTAAAGTTAATTAATAATAATTGTTCTTAGAATGCTATTTAAAATTTTAGAATTACTTCAGTTCTTTTTATAACTGCGATTTTCATTTTTATGATATGATATTTATAAATAGATAAAATTATAGAAATTTATATCCAGTTTACACGCTCATAAATGTCACTGTACAATCCAAAATTAATGAGATTAAGTTAATTAAATTCCAAAGCGCAATAACCGTGCACGTAATATCGTTATGTCCACTGTATTGTCCACTGTGAAATAAAGGTTATTCCCTATGGGACATATAAAAATCGATACATACATCATAGTCAAGTGTATGCAACTTGACACGAATAAAGTTCGTATATTTTCACGCGACTTACGTAACATATGTGTGTGTGTGTGTGTGTGTGTGTGTGTGTGTGTGTGTGTGTGTGTGTGTGTGTGTGTGTGTGTGTGTGTGTGTGTGTGTGTGTGTGCAATACATTCCTTACCAAATTTTTTTTATTTTATTTTGTATAACATTTCAACTTTTAAATTGACTATAAAATTGACAATTACTATTTATTTAAATTATTTATTAAAATTTATACATCGATAAATAATTAATATTAAGAAAAAAGATATAATAGAAACAAATACATATAAAATTACGGACAATCAGAAAAATTAAATAATTTGTTTGTAATTTTAAAGAAATTAGAGTCTATCCTTTAATCTACTTTAAAATGCATACATTAACATTTATATAAATTAGCGATCTGACAATTTGTTTATATGAAATCGAATGAAAGTTGCTGTAAAAACTGCTATAAAATAAAAAAATGAACATAAAAGGGTATATATTATTTATTTTATTATTATTAAATTAAAATAAATAATACTAAAAATAGAAAACAAATAAAATTCTTTTAAGGACTTACCGTAATTGTGAAAGGGATCGTGTTGACCAGTTCCAGGATGAAATGGAAGGATAGAAGCTGCTGCCAGACATTTCCCTGTGAACATTACAAAGACAGCTCAACACACCCAGCGACAATTTTATCAAAGTAGGAACTGTGAATAATGTTTTAAAAATAAACATGCATTTCACTGTTCTGTATTTTCTAAAGTAGTTTTGTAAATACTATGAAGATAAATACGCACTAATAAATCTAAGAAATTTAGGAGTAAGAGATTCTCGTAACTTATTTTTACTCATAAAATTATTTTTTATTTGTGTATCATTATTATAAAACATCTTGTACAGTTAATAGTAAGTTCAAATTTTATAATTCGTATAATCAAGTGTTTAAAATCAAAATTTTATAATTTTATAATTTTAAGAAAACTTCTATCAGCAAAAATCATATATGTTTTATATCTACGTTGTTATACATGTATTAATCGTTAAAAATAAACAAAAATAATGATTTAATTATTTTTCTTAAAAACTTTATTTTTAAAATGTACTCGATATTATTTTACTTAATCACCAAAACAATTTCTACGATCGTTTAAATCACGCTGAGTATAAAAGTATAGGAAATTATAATTGAGAAGATTAATTGAAAATTATATCTTCTAGATTGCTTCATAAAAAATATCATTTGCCGCATCAGCGCCAGCAGTAATTAACTTCAGTTGCGAGACAGAAAAAGTGAATACGTGCATAATCAGATCAAAAACTTCTTCGTCTCATCATTGGACTCATCGGACTGACTCGATGTAGGTACATCTCTTGCACTTTGTTGAGAACATGACGTGCATATTACATTTTTACTTAAACCACAGTCTTTCATCGTATTATACGTCTCTTTGATCTTAACGACTGACTTTTTAGCACGATAGATGATAAAAGTTTTGCATTTATATCAAGCAAATTTTTAATTAAGTTAGGAAACAACTTTTATTTATATAAAGATATTTATAATTAAATCTTTTTGTAAATAAGAAAAGCTAATTTTGTTGTTAAACTTTTATTATGTTTTTTAGTCTCTTTATAAAATTTTTAACATAACATATTATAATATCACTCACTAAAATTATATCTCGAATGTGTTAATTCAGTAATATACTTTCGCGTTCTATTATATATTAGATATAATAAAAATAAATCCATTATTTTTGCATTCAATTTCATGCAAAAATAATGAATTTCTTTTTACTACACCTAATATAAAATGCGAAGCAAATTATCACAGTTTTTAATTAGTGATTTTTAGAAAAAAGTGGATGCTTGCTTTTGAAATATTATATACGTTATAGTATATCTATATCCTTTAAATGTTAAAAAAACTATTACTCGTGAATTCATCATATCGTAAAAATAAGTTATTTAATTTTAAATAAAGCTGCGAAAATGTGACAATTAACTCCTGTTCTGAGTTGATTGTCACACTTCTAGGATTGGCAGCATATTTGTTATGGACAACATATATAAAAAACAATTTTTATTTTAATATTAAATCTATATTTTAAGAAATAATAGTAATTATAGTATTAATACAAATAAAATAGTTATTTTA